AGGGGGCGCTGGGCAGTGGCCGCAATGTTGTAGGCCCACTGGTGTTTGCGCTCAAGATGGCGAATGGTGGTTTGAAGGGTGAGGGGGACAATGAGGGCGAGGGTGAGGATGCTGAGGAGGGTGGTGAGGAAGAAGCCCAGAAGGGCTATGAGAAGGAGGTTGGGGTGCTCGTTGACGACGGCGAGGGTGACGGTGGCGAAGGGAGTGACTTGGTTCACCACTGAGGAGGTCAGTAAAGGGGGTTGGGGTGAGCTCAATGGGGGACATTACTTGTGCTCCATTGTTCGACCAGTTGAGGGCTTGTTCGTCGACGGGAGTGGTGGATGGGGGAGTGGGAGCGCGTTCAAGGTGAACCTTGAATGTGTAGCTGTCCTTGAGGAAAAAGATGGCGAAGGCGAGGGTGAGAATGAGGAGGACAGTAAATGTCCAGCTGACGAGAAGGAGAGCGACGAGGATGGTGACGGATGCCATTGAGGGAGTTGAGAGAGGGTAGCTCTTATGAGGAGTCACTTTGTTTGTTTTGCAGAAAGTCTGCCAAAGCGTCTTTGGCATGTGAAAGTTCGGTTTTTGGCAGCCAGGAGTCATCCGAAGCTGGGTATCCTTTCCATCTTACCCGGTACAGTGTTCGCTTGCCAGCTGTCTTTGAATCAATGATATGTTCAATTTCGAACTCCTCCTGGTTCTTGATTAGTTCCGGTGGAGGTCGGAGGTAGTTCTTCCCATGCATTGTGGTTTCCGAATAAGGATAGAGTAATCCTGCATGGAACACAGGGTGAATCTTCCATTTAGGCGGTAGCTTTAGCTAATAAACCACCAATGACAGTTTCTGATCAATAGTGAAGGGTCTATAGCACTTCAGTCCAAGTTTGGCTTTGGGATGGAGTCCTTTGAGGTTGGTTGCTTCCAACCATACTTTTTGTCCCGGTGTGTATTCGACAAACTTGTCTTTATTGTGTTTCTTGACTGTTTCCTCTGCTAGTCAGATACTGGACTGGATTTCCATGTGAAGGTATGCTAATTGAGTGAGCCTAGAAGCGATGTCCGGAGCATCTGTTGTTCCCACAGTGGGAATATTATGCCAAGGTTGGTAACCCATGAGTGCTTGGAAGGGGGACATCTTGATGGCGTCATGATACCTATTGTTGTGTGCGAATCGGCTAGAGGTAAGTGACTTGTCCAGTCAGTTGCTTGGTGATTGCAGAAGATCCGAAGATACAGTTCCAAATCTTGGTTGACACGTTCTGACTGTCCATCAGTTTGAGGATGGAATGCGCTGGAAATGTTCTGCTTAATGCCTAACTTGGTACATAGTTCCTTAAACATTCGTGATGCAAACTGTGGTCCTCTGTCAGAAATAGCTTTAGCGGGTAGTCCGAATCTTCTGAAGACGTGGTTCTGATACAGGGTAGCAGTTTCAGATGCTGTAACTGTCTTGTTGCAGGGTATGTGTTACAGCTTGGAGGGGGGTTTCTTTTCTTTCCTAAACTATTCGTCATTGACCCTGTACTGTACTGCTGATCCCATCACTTGATGCTTCATCACCATCAAGCGTTTCATAT